TCTCTCTCTCTCTCTCTCTCTCTCTCTCTCTCTCTCTCTCTCTCTCTCTGCTTGTCTCTCTCTCTCTATCCCGATTTCTTTTTGACCGGAAGAAGCCAAGTAGGGAAGAACCGCGATTGTCATTTCCGAGTTCACGTATTCGAATTTCAAGTACGGTGGCGTTTACTTCGGTCATAAATATATATAGACAGTGCTCAGTCGATAAAAGCATAACAGTTATGAATCGGGCATATACCCACTAGTCTGCGACCACTATCTCCCAACTTCTTCCTCTTTCATCCCTCCTTTCTGATCCTGACCGTGACCGTGTCGCACGAACAAGTCTTATTAAAAAGAAAAAAAAGAAAGATGCGTGATATCCATATAATGGATATCCTTAAATGGTTGGTAATATGTAATAAACTAAAAAATATTAAAAAAATGTAAAAACACGATAGTAGGGCACGGTCCACCAGTGAATACCATACACCATCCTACATACATAGAACATTATCCATATATCGACTTTTCAAGATGAGCCATTATATAGGAAGTGGTCGAAAGACTGGTCCGGACCACAACCATTTTCAAAAGTGCTCGTCTTTGGGCCAAAACGCGTCAATGTACCAAGTTTCATCAAAATATCTCAAGAATAGCGACCTGCAGATTGCCCATAAAGAAACAAAACGGATAGCCGGACAGATAAACGTAACAAAAAAGGGGTCTATCTCAAGTGTTTTAGAGGTTCGCATAGGTTAAGAGTAAAGAAAAAAAAAAATAAATAAAATTAAATAGTGCGGAGAAGCTTTAAATTATGGCATAGTAGTAAAAGATGAAAGGACGAAATTTTGTTTTAACGATGAATTTTATTCCATTATCTCCTTAGGCAAATCTAGTTTTTTTCAAGGAAAGCCAATTTTATTTTGTTGGCTATACAGCTTATTGAGTCGTCTTTATCTTATCTTTCCGATTCGTCTTCTTTTTAATTCAACCCTTCATATCTAGTAAAATACATGGAAGCGACGCATCTATCTTCTAATCGGTCAGAAAAACACGCTAGAAATTGTTCGCAAAGATTCTCAGTTTTGAAAAACGATCGATAAATTAACGACAGCGTTATCACTCTTGTCTACAGAAGTGTTTGCGGATACCGACGAAGACTTTTTTTGTTTAATTCGTATGTACGAAACATTACAACAATCGTAAATTCGCTCGATCACTAAAATACTTGTATAGTTAAATGATACCGTGCAGTCAATTGAAATCTTTAAAAAAAAGCTGTAAAGAACGTTAAAACAAAGGCTAGAAAGAAATTAACGCAAACAAGTTAGAAGTCGTATTTGGACGACGTCATCCATAAAATAATCTATATTACTTCGCAAAAAGTTTTCCAAAATTCACTCATATATGGGATAAATAAATGATTTTCTAAAATCCCTTTTTCAGTAAACCTTGTCCTTGAGCCGGACCATATCGACGAATCCGGAAAATGATTCTGAATATTATAGTGAAAGATGGGGTGTACCTCGAGTCCTTCTGTTCTTTCCATCCGCGAACATATACTATAGGTAGTAATGGCAAAAGTGATAGGAATGTTGCATTCCGTTCAACGAGCTGGACGATTTTAAAGCAATACACAAATTGTAAAGTATTTAGTTAAGGGTTTAACCATTAGTAAAGGAAGAGTATATTTAAATCCACATTTTGTTTAACCGTTGCGAATGAAAAAGTCCCGTTTTATGTCAATGTATCAGTATATCCAATGGGTAGTAATTTACAGTCTTCTGCCTGTTGTTAGCGCTTTTTCCAACGAATTGCCTCCATTTTCGCATTAAAACTTCAAGTTGCCCAATTAAAAATTTCCCTTAAGTTATTATTATTATTATTTTAATTTTAGACTAATGAATTGAATTCTTAGACTAAAAAAAGAGACATCGAGCACTAGCAACACAGGCTATCGGCTTAAGTTAATATCTATCTCTTATTTAAATTTAAAGATGTTATAAATGGAAGGATAGATCACACTTCCTTCTTACTTGGATGATAGGTAAAAAATCGTCTTATCTTTATACAACATGCATTGCAGCATTATAAAACATGCAAATGATTTGCTGTTTTTATACATATTGTAATGAATGTTGCTGGTGGTGTGGAGAAGTTACAGAAAGATTCTCTATGAATCTTTTCTCATGGGTGACTTTGGTATTGGTGTACAATAAGTTTCTGAACTGCTGAATCCGCCAAGACTGTCAACTTCTTTTAGTGCCAATGCAAGATCGGCTAGAAGTTGTGCCTAGCTAGGAATGTAGTGAATGAAACGCTTTATTTAATTGTTAATTCGCAACAATTATCTTTATTGCGTAAGCATAAAATTTTGACGGATTAATTTAATTAGGGCGCGTACCGTAATATTGCATTACGAAATTTAATTCTCAGCTTTGTCTTTTTGCAAATAAATTATGGTGATTTTGCATAATTCTGTCACACTTCATAACCACGATATGCGATCACAGTCCAATATACATCCAACTCATTGTTTAAACGGTATATAAGTTCCTCAGAAAACCGCGCACGAAGAAACCTGTGAAATAATACATGCGTTAATAAATTGGCAGACATGTTCCACAACTTTAAAAAATCGTATAAGATGGAGACACTCTAAATAACTTCACAAAAACCGTGCAAAAAAATAACAAAAAAATCCATACTGCATATTTATAAAACAAAAGGAATTCGTTTTTAATCCATATACGTTGAACAAATGACTTTTCCGCTTAATTGTAAATTGTGTTTACCTCCACTATTATCTGAACACTTCTATCATTAATTTCTATTACCATTTTTATAAAAAATCACACCTCCGAGCAAGTGTTTTGTAAAAAAAACAATAAAGGAATAAACCAAACTTAGCAGCAATAGAAAGAGGAAAGGATATGAAAAAAGGCAAAGATATGAATGAAGTAAACTTTTTTTTTTTTTATGAAAGTTGCCAGCGCAATAACATTTCACACGCGACATTCACTGAAAATTAACTATTCTAATACCTATAGTAACAGTTGTCACGCGTTTACTGAAGTTCTAAAAAAAAGAAGAAAAGTACAACCATCTAAAAACAGACGATTAAAAGGGAAATGAACTTTGTGAGATCAGATTTAATACTAAGGGAACTTTTGGAAGACCAAAAGACCTTAACTGCATTTTTAGATGCCACATTCGGTTTCCTCAAAAGAAAGTAAGCCGTTATTAATGCAATAGAAACAAAAGAAATATATGTGTTTTCATACAGCACAGATTTTTATCATATCCAAAAGCATGCGAATGACAAGATCGGGTTTCCTCGAGGCATGAAAGAGCAAATAGTGATGAGTTGCTTACAAAAGTATGATCCAGAATGCCAAGCTCATCAATTAGCTGCGGACGACATGAATGAAGCACCTCCTGCTTTGGAAGAAGTCGAAATTGTTGCAGAGGAGACCACAGAAACTCAAGATATTCGAACGGTACCTGAAATGAAAAATTTCAAAGACGAAGACAAGGAAGGCGACATCACTTGTTTTTCTGAGGTTGATTATAAAAACGGTGGTATTTTCAAAGATTATTGTTGGTCGCAAACACTTAAAGAAATTGAATTACTTATTAAATTGCCTAAACAAGTTAAATCCAGCAAGCATATTAAGATAGAATTGACATCAAATTCAATTTTAATTAAAACTCTCTTGAATCAACCAAAAATTCTAATTAGCGGCCAAGTGTGGTCTAAATTTAAGCATAACGATGCCGTATGGACTGTGACGGAAGGAAAACTGCACATAAGTCTGGGTATCTATAAACAGCACCTAATATGTCCTTGCGTGCTTGGGTAAACATTGTCTTCTTTTACAGATAAATCTCAACAAGTATGGTGGGACAAATTATTCTGCACAGAACCGTGTATAGATATAACACGACTAGATTGTGAACAATATATAGATGAATTGCCAGAATCCTCTCAAGTTGCCATACATAAATTACGAATTCAGGAAATGGAAAAGGAGAAGGGCAATATTGCACGAGTTCCAGGAGAATTTGATGATAAAAGCTTAGAGCAGCTCGACCGTCTAAAACAAGCCTGGAATGCAGATGGTTCGCCATTTAAAGGCCAACGTTTCGATCCATCAATAATAAAATTCAATTAAAATATAAAGATAACAATTGTACGAAATTAAAAACATATTTTTAATTGATTTAATAAACAGTAATGGTCGCTGCCTTTTTTTTTATTTGTACGAAAAAAGTTGGTGACTTCTAAATTATAAATTATGAAACCTAGTTTTCTATCAAAATATTATAGGTATTTCAAATTGGTTTTCAATTCCTTCTTCTTTTGTTGCAGTTGATATTTTTGATACTCCAAATCGCTACGGTCTGTTGACCACGCAAAATACATATAGGCAGTTAACATCGTAGCCAACAATAGACGATCCAAGCTCATCAAATTGGTGAACCATAAAATGATAGTTAAACCAATAAAAGAAGGATGTCGGATATGATCGTATAACATACGTAATTCAAACGACTTGTAGGCCAATGGTTCGGCGTAGTTTTTTATATCATAATAAACCTAAAACATAATATAAATGTGCGACGCAGCCAATTTTAAAAAGTAGATACGGAAATACCTGCTTAATGCCCAAAATTTCCGGCAAATCCATGATCACGCTGCCCCCAGCAATAATTAGCCAAAGAATAGAATGTAAAATAACAAAAGACCACCATATCCAATCATTGCTATCAACATCAATTTGCCAAATCACAATTGAAGAAGCGCTGGACCAATTTTTTATTAAATACTATGAATTTAAAAAATTGGAAACAGATGTTGATTTCAAATTCTTTATATGAAGTTGTAACACTCACACGCAGGCAGAACGATGATGTTAAGCTATAAATAGCTCTCTCAGCCGAGGCCAAGCCCATATTATGCATTACAATATTTATATACTTGGATTTCATAAAACTGTGCTGACAAATGAACAATATTAGATACAAAGTATTAAAAACAATCGGTCCATAAGCAGTTTCCAGGCGTGACTGATTATCAAGCAAGTTAAAAACCCAAGTATACATTTTGGACGGTTTTCTTGGAGCCGATAGAAAATGTATTAAATGGCCCAGTACGTAGAATGTATAAACAAATGATATAATTGCTATCAAAAACGCTAAAAATTGTTTACAGGAAACCATAGTGTTGGGCTGTAGATTTGTTGAATACAACCGCAATATTATTTAGATTTATTGATATTGTTATTACTATTTTTCTTTTTTTTTTCAATTCTTATGCTAATTATATATTTTCACGGCTATATTTTGTATGTGTAAACATGTATTGGCTATCAACGGCGAACGGCGTTATTGCCATTTGCAAATACAGTTTCTTAGTGCAATCCTGCCAGTTTTAAATATTTTGAAAACTTATAGTATATATATATGGCCCGATTTGTATATAATTATGGGAAACGATATGCGTTCCTCATTATTTTTCTGTTCAAGACAGACGTTATTATCATCAGGTTCTCGAAATCAAAATAGAACAAAGTATTATTAGGGCTGTTTATAAAATTGAGCGACACACGTAGGATATCTTCAGTTCGTTCATTACCGTGAAAGGTATTTTCATGCATTCGTCTTGATTTCTTTTCCATCTGCTGAAAATTGAACAGGTGGCTTTTAAGTTTATCGCAAGAACGTTGCCTTTGGTGCCTTACTGTGTAAAATTTGCAAAATTTGTTTCGGAATCTAAATATTTTAGAAAGCATAAAAAGCACAGCCAGAACTGAACAGGAGACAATGAATAAAAGTTTCAATTAAAACTATTAAAAATCCTATTAAATATGTGTTTATGATGTATAAATAAGTGACAATTCGTAATCTCAAATAGACTATGTATAAATAAGTGACAATTCGTAAGCTCAAATATACGATTAAATTATCAATAATAAAATTCGTGACCTGAACAGCGAGCGAGTAAAAGTAGACATTGATATGTACAATTGGCATTTCACATATAAGCATATTCAAATTCAAATGACCCAGATAAGGAATTGTTTACAAAAATAGCAAATTTTCAAAATACTTTTCAAATACATACAAACGCGCTAGAAACCTTTGAACTTATGCGACTTTTCAATAAGGGTAATATTTACCAGAAAAGTCCTGACAATGTTTCTTTAAAGATTTGCTATATATATTTCTTATATAAAATTTTAAAATCTTTTTAATTGATTTTCGGTTGGTCATTTTTTATTTGAATCGTAACGAATCTATATATGAAATAAAATCAATTATGTATCATTTTTCATCTCGAAGTAATGTGGAAACAGTTCGATTGTCACAACGTAATTCGATTCCGAACCAAATAGGCCAATACTTGAAAAATTTTCAAATTGAAGCCATACGTTTTATGCACGCACTTCTTGTAAAACAAGAATTTTGTATCTACAATGATGAAAGCGGTCTGGGTAAGCAAGCCGCTACAGCAGTGCTTCTAAGTGTTATTGCAAGTAATAGAAAAACATTGATTGTAATACAAAATGATGAAATTCACCTTACGGGATGGGCGTTTCATTTAAATGTTTTAAGCACTTTGCATGTCAAGTTTATAAAGGATGAACAAGGTAATTTAAGAAGGAGTTGGACTACGTTTTTATATGCTTTAACAATTATTATATGTATTATATAAATATTCTATTGCAGATTTCACACATAGCCCGCACAATGTTTATATAATTACCTGGGGGATTTTGAGAACAATCGATGACGTGAACAATCACAAGTTTGATTATATAGTCCTTGATAATCGCGGTGAAATGCTGAATAACAATTTTTGTACGTCAGTGCTATTAAAACACTTCAAAGGTAGAACTAATTTGGTTATCTCCAGTGTAGATGTAACGGTAAGTAGAATGTCATTTTGTTTATAATTGCATAATATTAAAGAAAATCATATTATAGGGCAATTTAAAATTACTCCATAATATTTTGCTTCTGGGAGGGTGTTTAGAACCTCAACATCTAGCCTATAAGCATTTTGAGGCAAAATTTAAACTGCCGCAATCGATGCACGCATCTTGCAAAAGCGTCGATTTAGACAAATATTTTCGCGAAAGACAACGATTATCCGATTATTGCAAGTAAGTATAGGTTTTGAATATACAATCAACGACATTATTTATACGTCACCATTCATTAAAAACATGCTCAGAAATTTTCGTTTAAGGCGCTATTGCCATCAGTTCGAGGAAGAGTTGCCTTTGGTATTGCAAGATCACTATAAAATCAATTTAAAGTTATGGCGAGACCGGCAAAGAGCTAGCAATCCGGATGATGATAATGCCATGTCTCAAAATAGAATGCAGAATGCAATCACTACACAAGAATTATTTGAAGATTTTTGCAGACAAAGACAGAATCAGAACAAAAAACAGGGAATAAACTTGACCGAAGAACAAGTGATTTGTATAGAAAATGATGCGCAAATAATAACTGACAGTTCTTCCGAAGATTTGGTAAATATGTCGCCGTTGCTAATTGAGTCCGATTCAGATAACGATGTTGTAACTGAAATTCCTAATACTGCCGATATTGGACAAGAAGAAATTGTTGATATAACAAATGACGATCAAGATGATAACAATGCAAATAATGAGACAATTAATTATTGCGTGAAAAAGAAAAAACGGAATGAATTACAAGGACTGATAGAAAATATAACGGAAAAATATAAAGTATCTCTCGATTTTACTGACAACGATGTAAACCGAATTTGTAGGCGTAACACCCGGCGAACGACAAATAATCGGCAAGTTTGCAGCAAAAGTTCCCGCGAAACCAGAAGATCTGTAGGAAACACAGGAAACAACTGTAATTGTGACCCAAACCAAGAAAGAAGTAATCTGCAAGAAAATGTAGTACGATCTTCAAACTCCACGGATCTCAAAAACAGCGTTCCAAAAATTAAAAAGAATGACGTTTTACAGAAAAAAACATCGTTAACAGCTAAAACAAAAGAAAAGAAGTCGCAAAACTTAGTAGGTGCAGATCGGCGGGAAACACGGGCGTTTGGAAAACGTTTGACGCGTTCAGCAAGCACTGCATTATCTATGAACCATGTGTCTCTGGAAAGCGATCGCAGCTCTAAACACAAAAAGAAAATCGGCGTCAAAAATTCATCACGGAAAAAACCAAAAATAAACGATGCAATTGAAAAAAGCGAAAAAGATACACAAACCACACTTTTTATAAACAATTCGGACTCCAACGACTGCGGGAATATGCAGTGTGCACAAAAGCTTAGTGATTCGAGTATATTCGACAATTTTATAAACTGTTCAGAAAAAAAGGAAGAGAGTCTACTTGGGCGATCAACTGAGATCATAAATACGCCCATATTGAGCACCGATGCATTGAGTGGTTCCGAAGTCATTTTTGTGCCCAGCGAAAAAACGAACGCTTCCGAAACGAATAAAAACCTTGAGCAAGGTAACACGCTTGGTAGCTCTTGCGATGGTTTCTCACTATCGTCTTCTTCGTGTTGCAAGGATGCAATAAGTCGTCGTACAAAAGCCTTGAAGCCAAAAAGAATGCATAATCATGCGTTAACCTCAACAAATAGAGTACAAACTTGTAGTGAGCTTAAAACGAAAGGAGTTCATTGTAAAGATAATAAATGTGCAGATCTCTTTGATATAAACCGTGATACCGCAAATATACGATACAAGAAAACACATTTTAACACACATCGCCAAGTGCAAGAACAATCAGAGCAAACACAAGCCGGCATTACAACTAAAAAAATGATGCAGTCACGACAGCCAGTAAAAGAACGAAGCTGTTTAGTCATTTTAGAGAAAATGTTCAACATAAATAAAACGCCAAGAAGTGCTATATTAGATGATATTATCACAGAACCTTTAGACAAGGTTAATGAAATTGATAGTTTTGATATGTTGCCACCAGAGGACGTATTCGAAATTTCTGATAGTGATACATTTGGAAGTTTTATTCGTGTACACTTGAATGGTGATATATCAACGATGCAGTCCAACATCCAGCGTAACCAATCAGCACAACCCAATAAAATTACAAATTATCTTATTAACGGAAATGGATCTAAAGACAATACGAATGATGGTCCAGATAATGTAAATAGGCAAAACGTTCGCATTGCTGAGACCAATTATTCACCAAGCAAACCGCCGCAGCAGTTGTCAAGTGCTCTTGGTAGTACTTTAAAAAAATCGCCAAAAGTTAAGGTACAAGCACAAGCCACCAAATTAACTAAATGGTTTTTAAAGCATGCCACTGGCGAGCAGCCACAGCACGTAAACAATGTACAATTAGATCATTTGACAGTTAATGATAATGATATCATAAAAACGCCATCGGCTAAAAAGCAAATCAAACGTAGACGTTTGGATTTAAATTTTAAAAATTGAAAGCATGCCGGGATTTGGGACTAGTAATTACAAACTTGTACATATATAAACTTTTTTCTCTCAAAACTAACCAAAAAGTTAGTGTGAAAAAAAATTTCGATCGGCCAACGTAATATGTCCAGAATCAACAAAACACATAACTTTTCCATTTATTTGCATTTTAAAATATTGGTTTGAGAAAGAGATGACAGTTGGAAAAGGCTCGCCTCTCTTACTGTGCTAGTTAATGCAAAAAGTCAACATGTTTTCGACTGCCTTAAAATTTTAGTTATATTTTGCGAGGATTTTGCTGCATATGTTCAAATCAATTATTTACCTCAATCAATTGTAAAGCACTTGTTAAAAATGATTTCGAATAAATATTTCGAAAAAGCTCCTATATACTGTCAATTATATCGCAGTTACAAAAATTGCATAACTATTTTAATCCCACTTCGTGCTCTTAATTATAAGTATAATTAATATATACGTTATCGCGTAAAATATATATATGTTATTATATGAAAATTTATATATATATATATATATATAATAATTATTTTATAAATTTATAATTTTTTCTAAGTCTAATAAAAAGAGGGTAAATTTGGCAAAAAATTTGAGAATTTTGTACAGATAACGAGTTTTTTGTCGCTCATTGCTTTTTATAAAACAACATAATTAATTTTTAAAAATGAAACGTTCGTACGTTTCGCCGGCTAAATTAAGATGGGAGGTAAATAACGCATCTTACTTCCTTTCGTTTTGGATGTACATCTTAATGTTTTCGCTTCATGCTGTTGAAAATGTTTGTTAAATTATACATAATAGCTTTGCGTTGATAGATAACTTCCTGTTTACAAGCACCTCCGAAAAACAAAGGACATTCGTAACGTACACTTTCGCGACAATGTGTATTGGCAGCTTCGGCAATAAAATCAAAATCACTTTCGGATCGTACTGAAAAGAGGAACAATTAATTAACTAATAATTAATTAATTAAAAGATTCCTTGATTATATTGCATATGTGCAATATACTCATAAGTGCTTTCAAGCACTCGGAATACCTTAGATATTTATTTTGGAAAATGCCTGATCCATTTCGTCACATTCGAGATACTGTTCAAGGAATCTTGTCAGATTCATGCATGCCAAAAAAAGTCCGATAGTAAAGTAGTAAGTAATTTAATTAAAGTTAATTTATTTTAAAATTTTTTTTGGTTTATAGAGAGGCCAGTAAGTAAATGGGAATAATTTCGTTTCAGTAAGAAGTCCCGAACGGATTTTAGCCACTCGTAGAGAAAGTTTGAATGGTAAGAGATAGAGATCGGGAAGGTTTTCCGTGTATGTCGATCAGTAACGATCTGTCGCCAAGATGTTAATAATGATGTATTTGATACCAAACATGCGATAGTTCACATATTCGGAACGGAAATGCTTGCCCACAAATAATAATAATCAACTTAAGGTGAGGAATATACATTAATATTAAACGATAAGACTAGGAGCAACTGCATGAATTCCCAGCGCTCTCTCTCTCTCTCTCTCTCTCTCTCTCTCTCTCTCTCTCTCTCTC